GACAGCGCTTTCTTCCCAACACAACGGAAGACATCGGCATGAGAGATTTGGATTTGACGTTGGAGGAGGTAAATTTGAGAACGTTATTCTTTACTCTGGAACATGTCTTGCTGCCGCGGCCATCATAGCAGGTATTGGCTGGAGTTTCGAGAGGACGACTCAAAGGCAGTCAAGTGTGTAAGTCACGTATTGAATTCGTAGTTCAGCGGTAGCGGAGAACTCTGGATTCTGATATGATGTCCTCACTTAGTCACTACTGGCTGATAATCAAACACTAAAACTTTCTTTATTCCTTTGCGTTATCATTGAGCTACGTTTGACTTCGTTATTCTACGTCTTAATTGCGAGTCTGTAAAGGTGTTTGGATAGTGCTTTACCATCCAAATCCTTCAGAGCGAAGGTACATTTCTGCACAGCTCGCTCGTCCTCGTAGGATCTCCAATTGAACGCCAGCCACAGCATTGGACGTGTCAGTGATAAAGGACAAAGGTCCACAAACTAAAGTATCGGGGATATGAGACATTGAAAGAAGGCAACGGGGTTACAAGTACGTACCAGCGACGCCAACGCGACCAGTCCAAGTATTGCCTTTGCTAGAAACGATAGTCGGGATATCCGGTCTACCATTGCGGAATACGATGTTCTCCGGCTCTTCTTCTTCTTCGTCTTTGCTCCCTGAATTGTTTTTTTCCGCAGAAGCGGTATCCAGACTTTTCTCTTCATCACCTCCCCTCCCTGTCACGTGGACGCTGATCGTTGCCTTGCCTCCAGCCTGTTCTGCGGCGGCCTTCGCCTCTAAAAATTCAGATTCAAACCGTTTGATATCATCTAGTGAGTATTTTTTAGTCGATTTTCATCGAGAACAGAGGCTACTGATGTCTTACCAGTGTGCTTTACAACCCAAGTAAGTTCGACGTCCAGACAAGGGCCTTCCTTCTTCTTCATTGCAAGGATGATATCAAATAAGATTGGAGCGACAAAAGTGATCCCCGTTCCAGCAGCTAAGAGAAGTACGTGTTCGTATGATCTGAGCGCGTTGAATCCAACTTCCCCATAAGGCCCATCCAGAATCACCAAGAATTTGTCTTGCGGGTCGCTCTTCTCTGCAGCCTTGGCGAGTACGTCCGTGAATCCGTTCTCAGGTCGAATGATAAGGACCATCTCATTTGTTTCCTGGCCATCGGAAGAGGGTATTGAATAAATTGTGAAAGGATGGGATTCAAGGGGTCGAATACTTGCGAACCGGACAAAGACGTGCGTCCCGGGAGCCCAGTGCATCTTGGTTGGTATCTTGGCGTAGATCCATCCTCCTTGAATAGACAGTTGTGCTCGGTGACGGAACATGACGTTGGAGACCACCATCATGAACAAACGAGCAAAGATCCCGAACCCAAATAAAGCAAGAGTTGCATTCATATAAGCACTGAAATTAATCTCAGTTACAAGTTCAAGAATTCAAGTGGAGGCGTACTTCGTGTCCAGGATATCAAACCCATGCAGATACAGGAATCCGACAAACACTAGAATAGGCTCAGTGGACTGGTAGAAGTGGGGAGAGAAGATCCACCCACAGATCGCCGCAATGATATGAAGACCATAGAAGGGCTCATAGAGTCTCCTTCTGACGAATGGAAGACTTCCAAGGTATAGCCAAATGAGGGGACCCAGTGCTGCAAAACCAGTCCACCAAATGTACTTCGAAACATAATTAGAAATGAAGTTTCTCGCCAATCCTGCTGATAGCATACCGATGAAGCATAAACAACAGTCCAAGGTAGCTCCCTGTGTTCACGGGGCCGAGTCAGCTTTGAGATACGTTAGCCTCGAGTACTCTACTCACATCTTTGACTGCACCACTTGTGTAATTGCGTGAACGAGAGACATGTAGACTGTTTGGGATGATTCAATGAGTATCCAGTCGAGGCAGTTTGACGGAATAAGGGGATTGATACTTACGAACCATGAAGCCAAGGCCTTGATGGAGCACTTGAAGCTTGTCATACGAAACACCTATCCGACTCGTCATCGGTACCTTAGGGATACGAGGAAATAGAGCATACCAGTCATCCATGAAATCACGTTTCTCTTCGACCC